GGAGTTTCCTGTTGAAATTTTTTTTTTAATTTATTTTGTGTGCATTTATTGTGCCTGTATGTGTGTCTTTGTGAGGATGTCAGATACCCTGGAACAGGAGTTGCAGACAGTTGTGAGCTGCCATGCGGGTGCTGGGAATTGAACCCGGTTCCTCTGGAAGAGCGGCAAGTGCTCTTAACTGCTGAGCCATCTCTCCAGCCCCCCTTGTGGAATTTTTAAGATCTATTGTGTATACTTTTATATTATCTGCAAATAACAATACTTTGACTTCTTTCTTCTAATTTGTATCCCCTTTATCTCCTTCAGTTGTCTTATTGCTCTAGCTAGAACTTCAAGTACTGTATTGAATAGATATGGATAAAATGGACAGTCTTGTGTTCCTGATGTTAGTGAAAGTGCTTTGAGTTGCTGTCCATTTAATTTGATGTTGGCTATAGGCTGGCTGTAAATTGCCTTTATTATATTTAGGTATGTCCCTTGTTTTTAGGCATCTAATGAGATGATCATGTTTTTTTTTTTCCCCCTTTCTGTTTATTTATATGGTAGATTATGTTTACTGATTTTCATATATTGAACCATCCCTGCTTCTCTTGGATGAAGCCTACTTGATCATGGTGGGTGATCTTTTTGATGTGTTCTTGGATTCAGTTTGCAAGTATATTTTTTTGAATATTTATTGAATCTACATTCATAAGGGAAATTGGTTTGTAATTCTCTTTGTTTGGTATTTATTGACTAGGGTAACAGGATAATTGTGGCCTCATAAAATGAATTTGTCAAGGTTCCTTCTGTTTCTATTTTAGGAGATAATTTAAGGAGTATTGGCATTAACTCTTCTTTGAAAGTCTGATAGAATTCTGTGCTAAAACTGTCTAGCCCTGGGGACTTTAAAGACTGCTTCTATTTCACTAGGGGTTATGGGTTTATTTAAATTACTTATCTGATCTTGATTCAAATTTACCTTTTTTACTTCAATAAAGATTTTTAATGTGTATATGTATGGGTGTTTTGCCTGCATGGGTGCCTTAAGCACATGTGTGCAGTGTCCTTGGAGGCCAGAAGAGGCCAGATCTCCTGAGATTGTAGTTATAGACATTGTTAGACACTGTACAGGTACTTGTAATGGAACTTGGGTCCTCTAGAAGAGCTGCCAGTGCTCTTAATCAGATAGCCATCTTCCCAGCCCTTGTTTTTTATATTTGACCTGACATAATACAGAGAACTTTTTTTTTTTTTTTTTTTTTTTTTTTTTTTTTT